GACACAAAAGGGGCACAAAGGGGGGGCAAAGGGGGGCAAAGGGAGCACAAAGGGGGCACAAAGGGACCCAAGGGCCCCTCTGGTGTCCCCAGACCCCCGACCTGCAGCGCTTCTACCCCACGGCCGTGCTGGCCACCGGCAGCGACCTCCTCTTCTTCTGGGTGGCCCGAATGGCCCTGCTGGGCCTGCAGCTCACGGGGCACCTGCCCTTCACCAAGGTACCAACCCGTAGACCCCAATGTCCCCCCCATGGATCCTAATGTTTCCCCTATGGACCCCAGTGTTCCCCCTGTGTGTCCCTATGGACCCCAATGCCCTTTCAGCCCCTGCTCATGGGGTTCCCATCCCTATTTGGTGCTGCTCCATGTTCCCAACTATCTCCTATTCCCGCTCTTTGGAGTGTCGTCGTCCGTGTCATGTCGTCGTCGTCCCCCCCAGGTCCTGCTGCACTCGCTGGTGCGTGATTCCTACGGGCGCAAGATGAGCAAATCCCTTGGGAATGTCATCGACCCCCGGGATGTCATCGCTGGCGCCTCGCTGGAGGTACGAGACCCTGTAATAACACATGGGAGAGCCCATAATAACACACAGGAGACCCTATAATAACACATGGAAGACCCTATAATAACACATGGTAGCCCCTATAATAGCACATGGTAGCCTCTATAATAACACATATATATGTGGGTTATACCTATAAAAGACGCTACGATAACAAACAGGATTAATGGGGCTGCTGTTTACTGCAGGGTCTCCCAATGTGGTTTGGGTTTACTGCATGGTCTCCCAATGGGGCTGGTGTTTACTGTAGGGTCTCCCAATGGGGCTGGTGTTTACTGCAGGGTCTCCCAATGGGGTTGGCGTTTACTGCAGGGTCTCCCAATGGGGCTGGTGTTTACTGCAGGGTTTCTCCTATTGCAGGAGCTGCAGCAGAGGCTCCACACCAAGGTCCTGGACCCCCACGAGCTCCGAGTGGCCACAGAGGGGCAGGTGGGCCCTTTCCTGCCCCATAGCCCCCGCTTTACCCCTCCAACCCCTCCCTTTGACCCCCCATATCCCCCCCTATAACCCCTCCTTTTCCTGACCTCCCCTTCCCCATTGCAGCGGCTCCAGTTCCCCCAGGGCATCCCCGAGTGCGGTGCTGATGCCCTGCGAATGTTCCTATGCTCCCACAACGTGCACGGTGAGAGCCGGAGGGGGGGGCACCAGGACCCTGCGTGTCCCTGGTCCCCATTGAGTGTCCCCCATCCCTGGTCCCCATTGAGTGTCCCTGTCCTGTCCCCCCCTCCCCCCATAGGGGACAGCATCCGGGTGGCCGCAGGGACAGCCCTGACCCACAGGCGCTTCTGCAATAAGGTCTGGCATGGGGTCAGGTTCGTGCTGCAGGCACTGGGGCCCCACTGTGACCCACAGCGCCCTGAGGAGGTACCGGGGGGGGGGGGCACAAGGGGGGTTTGGGGGGGTCAAAAGAGGACTTTGGGGGTGGAAGAGGGGTTTGGGTGGGTAAAGAGGGGGTATGGCCGGTCAAATGGGAGGGTGGAGGGGACAGTGAGGGGGTGTAAAGGGGGGGGTTGGGGGGTGAAGGGGGGATCTGAGGGGTTTAGGGTTTAAACAGGGAGTTTGGGGAGGTGTAAAAGGAGGGGTTTGGGGTTAAAAGGGGGTTTTTGGGGGTGCAAGGAGAGCGGGCCCCCAGGCATCACCCTTTGCCTCCCCTTCCACATCCCTCTCTCCATTGCCCCAGTGCTGCCCCCGTGTGGCCATGGGGCGCTGGGTGCTGGGGCGGCTGCTGCAGGCGGTGGGAGCCTGCGCCCGGCACATGGAGGCGCTGGAGCCGCACGGAGCCCTCGGGGCCATCCAGCACTTCTGGACACAGAGCTTCTGTGACGTCTTCCTGGTGCGTGTGGGTCCTGGACCTGCCATTGATGGCGTTGAACCCATTGATGAGTCCATCCTACCCCTGCCATTGATGGCATCGAACCCATTGATGGGTCCGCCCTGCCCCTGCCATTGATGGCATTGAACCCATTGATGGGTCCGTCCTGCCCCTGCCATTGATGGCGTTGAACCCATTGATGGGTCCGCCCTACCCCTGACATTGATGGCATCGAACCCATTGATGGGTCCGCCCTACCCCTGCCATTGATGGCATTGAACCCATTGATGGGTCCATCCTACCCCTGCCATTGATAGCATTGAACCCACTGATGCCTCCTTCTCCCCATAGGAGGCCTCCAAGGGGCTGCTGCAGGACCCGGTGACGGCACCGGACACGCGCCGGACCCTGCTCTGCTGCGTGGATGTAGGGCTGCGGCTCCTGGCCCCCTTCGCCCCCTTCCTGAGCGAGGAGCTGTGGCAGCGGCTTCCCCGCGCCCCCCCAGTGGCCCCCAGCATCACCCTTGCCCCCTTCCCCGACGCCTCCAGCCTGGTGAGTGCCATTGAGACCCCTATTGATGCCCCATTGATCTCTCATTAACGCCCTATAGGCACCCCATTGACATCTCATTGGTGCGCCACTGACGTCTCATTAGTACGCTACAGACACCCCATTGACACCTCAGTGACGCCCCTTTGATGCCTCTATATCTCCCAATTGATGACATCCTGTTGATGCCCCATTGACATCTCATTAACGCCCTATTGACATCCCATTAACACCTCATTGGTGCCCCATTAACACCTCAACAAGGCCCCATTGATACCCTAATGCCATCTTGTTGGTGCCCCATTGACGTGCCATTGGCGCCTCATTAACACCCAATTAGACACCTCATTGACAACCCCCATTGATGCCCCATTAACACCTCATTGACAACCCCATTGATGCCCCATTGACAACCTATTGACACCTCATTAATGCCATATTGACCCCATTAACACCCCAGTGATGCTGTAGTGACACCTCATTGACATCCCATTGAAGCCTCATTGACCCCCATTGTTTGTGTCCCCCCAGGCCCACTGGCACTGCCCCACTGTGGAGCGGGAGGTGGGGGCCATGCTGGAGGTGGTGCGGGCGGTGCGGGCGCTGAGGGGCACCTTCCGCCTTGGGGCGGCCCGGCCCCCCGGTGAGTACTACATGTCCCAGCATGCCCTGGGGCAGCCAATATGGCTGACACACAAAGGGGACTACAAGTCCCAGCATGCCCTGGGGCAGCCAATATGGCTGACACGCAAAGGGGACTACAAGTCCCAGCATGCCCTGGGGCAGCCAATATGGCTGACACACAAAGGGGACTACAAGTCCCAGCATGCCCTGGGGCAGCCAATATGGCTGACGCTCAAAGGGGACTACAAGTCCTAGCATGCCCTGTGGCCTGCAATATGGCTGACAGACATAGGGGACTACAAGTCCCAGCATGCCCTGGGGCAGCCAATATGGCTGACAGCTCTACAGCATGCACTTGGCTGCCCCTGTGCCCCAAGATGGCGGCCCCCACTGGAGGCCGCCACAGCCCAGCAATCCCAGCATGCTCTGGGGCACACGGAGGCGGCCATGTTTCCCTCACACCCCCACTGGAGGCAGCCATGTTGGGTGGGCTGAGGGGCAACGCCGCTATCCCAGCATGCTTTGCGCAGTGGCGGTCCAGTGCCCGGCGGAGACACGCGATTGGCTGGAGCCGCTGGGCCCCACCCTCCGGACGCTGGCGCAGGCGGGGCCGCTGAAGCTCCTCCCCCTGGGGGCGGAGCCAGAGCCGGGCCCGGGCTGGGTGAAGGTGCCTGCAGGCCCCGACACCCACGTGCTCCTCTGCCTGCAGGTGAGTGTGCCCCGGGGCATTGTGGGATATGGGAGGGCTCCACGGGCATTGTGGGATACTGGGGGTCCTTAGAGGGGGTGTCCCAGGGCATTGTGGGACACTGGAGGACCCCTCCCTACCCCTTCCAGGGGCTGGTGGAGCCGGCGGCCGCCCGGAGCCAGCTCCGCAGCCGCAGCCTCGGACTCCAACGGCGCCTCCAGAGCCTGGGGGGGGCCCCAGAGCCCAGCGCCCAGCACCAGGTATGGCCCCATTGACCCCTATTGTACCCCACTGCACCCCATTGAACTCCATTGACCTTCATTGAATACCATTGAACCCTACTGACTCCCATTGAATCTCATTGAACCCCATGGACTCCCATTGAAACCCCTTGAACCCCATTGGTCCCCATTGTATTCCATTGACCCCCATTGTACCCCACTGCTCCCCACTGACCCCCACTGTACCCCCATTGTACACCCGTTGTATCCCATTGACCCCCATTGAACCTCTCTGACCCCCATTGACCCCCATTGTATACCCATTGAACCCCATTGTACTCCGTTGACCCCCACTGTGCCCCCATTGTATCCCATCAACCCCCATTGCACCTTATTGACCCCCATTGTACCCCATTGACCCCACTGTGCTCCATTGAGCTCCCCTGTACCCCCATTGTATCCCATTCACCCCCACTGTGCTGCATTGCACCCCGTTGTGCCCCCTTTGTATCCCGTTGCTCCTCATTGTACCCCCATTACACCCCATTGCCCTCCATTGTACCCCTATTGCCCCCATTGCACCCACCTGTACCCCCACTGCCCCCCATTGCATCCCATTGTATCCCCATTGCCTCTTATTGACCCCCATTGCCGCCCATTACCCCCCAGTGCATCCCATTGCCCCCCATAACTCTGCAGGGCCTGGGGGGGGGGGGCTCATTAACCACATTAACCTCATTAATGGGGGAGGGGCTCATTAACGCTGCCATCATTAACGTGCCCCCCCCCCCCCCAGGTCGCCATCCTCCGCTCCGAGCTCGCCCGCCTCCAACAAGCACTGGAGGCCCTGGAGCCCTTGGACCCCCCCTCAGACCCCCCATTGGACCCCCCCTTGCACCCCAAAACCCAATAAACCCCCCCCAAACGCCCCCTTTAAGCTCTCTTTGGCCTCATTCTTCTCCCCCCCGGGACCCATCACGAGAGTCCCAGGCTCAGCCCACATTTGGGGGGGGGGGGGGCAGGCTCCTCCTTCCCCCCCCCCCCCCCCATTCCATTGGGATCCAGGAGCTGCCGCTGCCGTGTGGGGACATCGGGGACAGCGACGCCTGCTCCTGCCTCAGGTATCGGATCCCCCCCACTCCGTGGTCCCTGTTTGGGCTCCCCCATTTCCCCCCCCCTTTATCCCCCTGTGTCCCCCCCATGTCCTTGGTGTCACCCCAGTGACATCCCCGTCACCTCTGGTTTCCCTCCCCCCCCCCAGGTTATGGCTGAGGGGTGCCCCAGCGCTGCCCCCCCTTGTCCCCTCCCCACGGAGGTGACGGCCACCCCCATGGATGTCCCTATGGATGTCCCTGTGGACGTCCCCATGGTCCCTATGGATGTCCCCATTGTCACCGTCACCCCCTGGACCAGCGGCATCACCATCACTGTCACCGCGGCACCACCGGATGAGGATGATTGGGACAATGGGGACATCGGGGACAATGAGGACGTGGTGACCCCACAGGACATTGGGGACAATGGGGACGTGGTGACCCCAAAGGACATTCGGGACATTGGGGATGGGGTGACCCCAAAGGACATTGGGGACAATGAGGACGTGGTGACCCCAAAGGACACTGGGGACAATGGGGACGTGGTAACTCCAAAGGACGTTGGGGACAATGGAGATGTGGTGACCCTAAAGGACACTGGGGGCAATGAGAACGGGGTGACCCCAAAGGACATTGGGGACATTGGGGATGTGGTGACCCCAAAGGGAATTGGGGACAATGGGCATGTGGTGACCCCAAAGGGTACTGGGGACAATGGGGATGGGGTGACCCCAAAGGACGTTGGGGACAATGAGGATGGGGTGACCCCAAAGGACATTGGGGACAATAAGGATGGGGTGACCCCAAAGGACATTGGGAACATTGGGGATGGGGTGACCCCAGAGGGTATTGGGGACAGTGGAGATGTGGTGACCCCAGAGAACATTGGGGACAATGGGGATGTGGTGACCCCAAAGGACGTTGGGGACAATGGGGATGTGGTGACCCCAAAGGACGTTGGGGACAATGGGGATGTGGTGACCCCAAAAGACACTGGGGACAATGGGGATGTGGTGACCCCAAAGGACATTGGGGACAATGAGGATGTGGTGCCCCCAAAGGACGTTGGGGACAATGAGGATGTGGTGCCCCCAAAGGACGTTGGGGACAATGAGGATGTAGTGACCCCAAAGGACACTGGGGACAGGGATGGTCTGGACCTTATGGACAAGGACACTGGGGACAATGGGGATGTGGTGGCCCCAAAGGACACTGGGGACAATGGAGATGTGATGGCCCCAAAGGACATTGGGGACGTTGGGGACAATGGAGATGTGATGGCCCCAAAGGACATTGAGGACAATGGGGACATTTGGGATAATGGGGACATGGTGACCCCAAAGGACACTGGGGACAATGGGTACATTGGGGACAATGGGGATGTGGTGGCCCCAAAGGATATTGGGGGCAATGGGGACACTGGGGGCATGGAGACCCCAAAGGACACTGGGGACAATGGGGATGTGGTGACCCCAAAGGATATTGGAGGCAATGGGGATGTGGTGGCCCCAAAGGACACTGGGGACAAGGGGGACGTGGTGGCCCCAAAGGACAATGGGGACAAGGGGGAACTGGTGGCCCCAAAGGATATTGGGGACATTGGGGACGTGGTGACCCCAAAGATCATTGGGGACAATGGGGACATGGTGACCCCAAAGGACAGTGGGGATGTGATGACCCCAAAGGGCATTGGGGACAAAGGGGATGGGGTGACCCCAAAGGACATTGGGGAAAATAGGGACGTGATGACCCCAAAGGACACTGGGGACATTGGGGATGGGGTGACCCCAAAGGGCACTGGGGGCAGGGATGCTCCGGACACTGGGGCTGAGCCCACTGGGGACCTCCCCTCCCTGGGGGACATTGGGGATGTCCCTGCATTTGGGGCTGGGGATGACATCAGCGATGACGTCACAGGCTGGGGTGGCACATTTGGGGGCACGTGCGTGGCCGGTGGCATCACCATCACAGTGGTGGCCCCCCCGCCGGAGGATGAGGACGTCCCCGATGATGACATCATCACCAGTGATGTCATTGGGGGTGACGTCATGGCGGAGGGTGATGTCTGTTCCTCCGCCCCTGAGGAGCCCCTCGTGGGCGACGTCATCGCCTGGAGTGACGTCACTTCCTCCCTCCCTGGGAGTGACCTCACTGGTGACGTCATCGCTGGGGACACCGCCGGTCATGACGCCGGTTCTGGCCTTCCTCGGGAGGAGCTCGCTGGAGGTGACGTCACGCACAGGGATGACGTCACTGGTGACATCATAGCCACAGATGACCCTACGGCGCTCTTCAGGGATACCCGTGCTGATGTCATTGCTGACGTCACTGCAGAGGAATATACAGCGGGTTTTGTACCTAGGGGCACCCCTGCTGATGACAGCATCGCCGCTGATGATGTCACTTCCTCCTTGCGAGGAGATGGTGACCTCACTGGTGACATCATCTGTGACAATGAGCACACTCCTTCTGCTTGGGATGACATCACTGATGATGTCATGCCTGAGGATGACATCACTTCCCCCATCCCCAGTGACACTGCTGGTCATGACGTCACTCCCGAGAGTGATGTCAGAGGTGATGTCACCTGGGGCACCGACCTGGGTGACGGCATCGGGGACGACGTCACCCCTGACTCCCTCCCCAGCTGTGACGTCAGCCCCGAGGATGATGTCACGGGTGACATCAGACCAGGGGACCCCATCCCCGGAGACTCTGCCTGCCGGGACGATGACGTCACGGATGACATCACCGCCGAGGCCCCCAGAAGGGACACCCCAGGTAGGGTGGGGGGGGGTGGGCAGAAGCCATGGGCAATGGGGCGGGGCTAAGGGGAGGGGGCGTGGTCTAGCGCTGACCACGCCCCCTCCTGTGTGTCCCCCCCCCAGGCCCCCCCCAGGCGCAGACGCCCTCCCCCGGCTGCCCCCTCGTGTTCTTGGCCCTCGTCTGCCTCCTCCTGGCCCTGCTGCTGCTCGCAGGGGTCTTTGCGGTGCGGGGGGGGGGATCCCCAACTCCTGGGTCCTTTTGGGGGTCCCCAAATCCGGGAGGGGGGGGTTGGGTTCCCATTCATGACCCCCAATGGGTCCCCATCAACTTAGGGTCCGGGGGGGGGTGGGGTTTCCCCAGTGGATCCCCAACCCTTGGGTCCCTATGGGAGGGAGGTCCGGGGGGGTGGGGGGGGTGGTTCTCTCCCCCCCCCCCCCAAAACGCTCCCGTTGCCCCCCCCTCCCCCAGGCCGCGCATTACGTCCGGGTCTTCCTCATCAGCTCCGCGCCCGTCGGCGAATCCTTCCCATGAGCGGGACGAGAAGGGGGGAGGGGAGGGGTTCCCCCCCCCTCCCCCCCCCAACAATAAATCACCCCCCTTCTCCCCCCCCTCCCCCCCCTTCCGTGTCCCATTTGGCGAGTCCGGGCTTGCCCCAGCGCTGGGGCCGGACAATGGCACCATTGTCCGCGGGGGGGGGCACGGAGCGAGCCAGTGGGGACAATGGGGGGGGGGGGGGGGCGTTGGGCTGGCCCCGGCCCTATAAAGCAGGGACGAGGCTGTTGGGGGGGGGGTCCGGCAGAGCCATGGGGGTGACGGGGCCGCTCGTGGTGGCCCTGGGGACGCTGCTGCTGATGGGGGGTGAGGGGGCATGGGGGGGACATTGGGGTAAGGGGGACATGGGGGGGACATGGGGATAACGGGGGCAAAGGGATGTGGAGGGGTATGGGGGGGATATTGGGGACATGGGATACAGGGGTGGGGATGGGACATGGGGGGGGGTAAAGGGATGTAGGGGACCCAATGGGATCCAAAGGGGACTCAAGAGGACCCAAAGGGGACCCAGTGGGACCCAAGGGAGTCAAAGGGACCCAAGGGGACCCAAGGGACTTAAAGGGACCCAAGGGGACTCAAAGGGACCCAAGGGACCCAATGGGACTCGAAGGGACTCAATGGGACCTAAAGGGACCTAATGGGACCTGAAGGGACTCAAAGGGACCCATTGGGACCTAAAGGGACTCAAAGGGACCCAATGGGACTCAAGGAGACCCAAAGGGACCCAGTGGGACCTGAAGGGACCCAATGGGACTCTATGGGATCCAAAGGGGACCCAAAGGGACTCAAGGGGACCCAATGGGACTCTATGGGATCCAAAGGGGACCCAATGGGACTCGAAGGGACCCAAAGGGACTCAAGGGGACCCAATGGGGCTCAAGGGGATCCAAAGGGGACCCAATGGGACCCGAAGCGGCCTCACGGGTACCGGTTCCCCCCCTCCCCGCAGGCGCCGCGGCTCCGGTCCCTGCCCCACAGCTCCCATGGGGCCAGGCCCTGGCCTCGCTGCTGCGGCTCCTGAACCTGCTCCCGGGCGCCCCCTTGGGGACAGCGGCGGCAACAGCGCCCGGCAGCGGCACCGAGGGAGCCCCCCGGCAAGGGCTGAGGGCACCGGGGACGGGGACGCAGGGAGCAGGGACAGGGATGCAGGGACAAGGGACAGGGATACAGGGAGCAGGGACAGGGATGCAGGGAGCAGGGACAGGGATGCAGGGACAAAGGGAATTGATACAGGGAGCAGGGACAGGGATACAGGGACAAGGGACAGGGATACAGGGAGCAGGGACAGGGATACAGGGACAAGGGGAATGGATACAGGGAGCAGGGACAGGGATGCAGGGACAAGGGGAATGGATACGGGGAGCAGGGACAGGGATGCAGGGACAAAGGGAATGGATACAGGGACAAGGGACAGGGATACAGGGAGCAGGGACAGGGATGCAGGGACAAGGGGAATGGATACAGGGAGCAGGGACAGGGATGCAGGGACAAGGGGAATGGATACAGGGAGCAGGGACAGGGATACAGGGACGAGAGACAGGGATGCAGGGACAAAGGGAACGTCCCCAAGGAGCAGGGATATGGACACAGGGACAAGGGGAATGGATGCAGGGAGCAGGGACAGGGATACAGGGACAAGGGACAGGGACGCAGGAACAAGGGGAACGTCCGCAAAGAGCAGGGATATGGACACAGGGACAAGGGGAAAGGATGCAGGGACAAGGGATAGGGACACAGGGACAAGGGATAGGGACACGGGGACAAGGGATAGGGACACAGGGACAAGGGACGTGGACACAGGGTCAAGGGACAGGGATACAGGGACAAGGGGAAAGGATACAGGGAGCAGGGACATGGCCACGGGGACAAAGGGAACATCCCCAAGGAGCAGGGATATGGACACAGGGACAAGGGGAATGGATGCAGGGAGCAGGGACATGGACACGGGGACAAGCAGACCCAGCCCAAGGAGCAGGACCGCGGGTCCAGGCACTGGGACCACATCCGCAGGGACAAGGGGCCCGGATCCAAGCACAAGGGGCATGGGCACAGGGACAAGGGGAGCGGCCCCAAGGGCCCTTCCAAGGCCCCCAGGCCCAGGGGGGGCCGCGGAGCTCCAGTGAGAGCCGGAGCCGGAGCGGGATCAGGGCGATGCCACCGGAGCCCGGGGACATCGGGAGCCAGGACAGGTCCAGGGACACTGAGGACAGCGGGAGCCGAGGTACCGGGGTGTGGGAATGGGAATGGGGTGTGGGGTATGGGGTGTGGGATATGGGGTGTGGGGTATGGGGTATGGGGTATGGGGGACACAACCCCAGTGTCCAGCTCTGTCCCTCACTGTGTCCCTTCTCCAGGCTGGGGACACTCGGAGGAGCTGCAGGACGTGGCATAGAGCTGTCCCCGTGTCCCCCCCTATTGATCCTGCGTCCCAATGTCCCCATATCCCAATGTCCCAATATCCCCATGTCCCAATGTCCCCATATCCCAATATCCCCATACCCCAATGCCCCCATGTCCCCCTCTTGATCTAGCATCCCAATGTCCCCATATCCCAATGTCCCAATATCCCCATGTCCCAATGTCCCCATATCCCAATGCCCCCATGTCCCCCTCTTGATCTAGCGTCCCAATGTCCCAATATCCCAATGTCCCAATATCCCCATGTCCCAATATCCCCATATCCCAATATCCCCATATCCCAATGCCCCCATGTCCCCATATCCCAATATCCCCATGTCCCAATATCCCCATATCCCAATATCCCCATATCCCAATGCCCCCATGTCCCCCTATTGATCCTGCATCCCCATCTCCCCGTATTGCCCCAGTGTCCCCATCCCATCTCCCCATTAAAGATTGAAGCAGCCTCACCCCCCTCCTCATCCCTATGTGTGGGGAGGGGTCCCCCAACAGCAACACCAAGACTGGGTCTTAAGGAGCCTTTAATGGGGGGCATCCATGGGGTCAATGGGGCTGGGGGGCGCTGCTGCCTCCTTCCCACGGCTCCATGGGGCTGGTGCCCCACAGCCCCCCCCCCCCCCCCCTCTTCCTCAGGAGCTGCCCCCTGCCCCCCCGCCATGGCCCGGGGCTGCCCTGTCCCTGCCCCCATCCCACTCGGGAATGGGGGGCCATGGGGCCACGGGGACCACGGGCAGGGGGGGCTCGGGGTCATCGGGCCGGGGGGGGCCCTGCGGCCTCGGAGGGGGCCCGGGCACGGGGGGCTGCGGCTGGGGGGGCGCTGGGGGGCGGCGCTCGGACATGCTGGGGGGGCAAAGAGAGAGAGGGGTTATGGGGACACCCCCCCATTGACCCCAGTTATGGGGACACCCCCCTATTGACACCCGTTATGGGGACACCCCCCCATTGACCCCCATTATAGGGACACCCTCTCATTGACCCCCGTTATGGGGATCCCACCCCCTATTGACCCCAGTTATGGGAAACTCCCCCTCATTGACCCCCGTTATGGGGATCCCACCCCCCCATTGACCCCCGTTACAAGGATCCCACCCCCCCATTGACCCCCGTTATGGGGATCCCACCCCCCATTGACCCCCGTTATGGGGATCCCACCCCCCATTGACCCCCTTTATGGGGGTCCCACCCCCCATTGACCCCAGTTATGAGGACACCCCCTCCACCCATTAACCCCAGTTATAGAGGTCCGGGACCCATCCTGCCCCCCCCCATCCCGCAGGGCTCCCCTCACCGGTACCTGGTGTCTATGGCAGCAGCTCCAGCGCAGCACCGGGATCGATGGGAGCACCGGGATCGATGGGAGCAATGGGAACACCGGGAGCAATGGGATCAATGGGAGCAATGGGATCAAATGGAGCAATGGGAGCTCTTATGGGCACCGGCAGGGGTGGAACCGGCCGGGCTGGAAGGTCGGGGGGGGGGACGTGGCAGCAGCTGCCCGTGAGTCAGAGCCCCTCCCGGCACCGCCCGGCCCTAGAGATAGAGCTGCCCTATAGACCTGCCCCTATAGAGCTGCCCTATAGACCTGCCCCTATGGAGCTGCCCTATAGAGCTGCCCTATAGAACCGGGCCCTATACCCCGGCCCCTATAGACCTAACCCCTATTAACCTGTCCCCTATATAGATCTGACCCTATAGACTTGCTCCTATAGACCTGCCCCTATAGACTTAACCCCTATAGACCTAACCCTTATAAACCTGACCCTTTTATAGACCGGCCCCTATAGACCTGGTCCCTATAGACCTGACCCTATAGACCTAACCCCTATTAACCTGTCCCCTATATAGACCTGCCCCCTTTATAGACCCCCCCTATAGAAACCGGGTGTGCATTGGGTTGGGGACACTGGGGGGGGGAAGGGGGGGGAGTGTTGGTGACCCCTGGGTCTCTCCCCAGCCGATCCCGAGGACCCGGGGTCCCAAATAGCCCCCAAAGGGGTCCTGGGCACCACTTTAAACCCAGGAGGATGTCAGGTTGTGGGGCTGGCTAAGGGTGAGGTTATGGGGCTGGCTAAGGGTGAGGTTATGGGGCTGGCTATGGGCCAAGGTGTGGGTCAGGCTGTGGGGCGCAGGCAGGGGCACGTTGGGGAGCGGGGGTGGCCCCAGCAGGTCCCGCAGCTCCGGCTCCAGATCCAGCTCCAGATCCAGCTCCAGCTCCTCCCCCTCCGGCTCCGTGGGGCTCGCGGTGGGGCCCGCGGTGGGGCCGGGCCCCGGGGCCGGGCCCGCGGTGGGGGGGGGCCGCGTGTTGGGGGCGCTCACGGGCACCGGCACCGTGACGGGGACCGGGACCGTGACGGGCACCGGGAGGCTGCGGGCGGCGCCTGCGGACACCAGGGGGCGCTGGTGGGGACGGGGGCTCCCCATTGCAAGGGGGACCCGCATCCCCCCACAGCCCCCTATAGCCCCATAGCCCCATATAGCCCCATAGCCCCCTATAGCACTATAGCCCCATAGTCCCCCATATAACTCCATAGCCCCCCATAGCCCTCCATAGTCCCCCACAGCCCCATATCCCAATAGCCCCATATAGCCCCTTAGCCCCCTATAGCCCCATAGCCCCCT